CGAGGTAGATGCTGATTGCAACTGTTAAATAGGTCATCACATTGATGTTTAAGGTCTTGAGTTAACTTAGCGGTTATGAGAAAAGGAGAATATCGAAAGAAAAGGGCAAGCTTGGATTTAGGATTTCAGAGACTGAATTCAGAGCAGAATGTAGATGTTGATGTCTGGAGGATTTGAATCCCTCGAACAATTTAGATGAAAACTGAATCTCGGAAAGTATGAGGAATCTAACATTACTGATGGATTAAAATTATATATCGCTATGTTCAAACCGTGAAGAATCATTCCAGTTGGCTCGGAAAGCATAGCTGGTCACTGCTGCGAGCTCACAGTTCCTAGGTTCGAATCGCAGTGACCAGTGAAATATCGACAGAGGGATTCATGATATGTACAAACGTAATATTCTATGTAAATCAAGTAAAATGATTCAATGAATGAACATATAAATGTGGAGAATATATCCACTGCAACACGGAGAAACTGAAGTCACCGATGAATGTAGATCACGCTTCTTTCATCATAGTGGGATGTTTGCTTCAAACTCACCGGAAATGCTGTCAAGATGTTGAGCGCGATAGCACTGATACATGCCATCCACAAGGAGCAAGCTTGTAATCCCGGCCTGGGGAGACTTGAAGTTGGCAATCGTTTGACAATATCCGCTCGAACCGCAAACCAAAAGCAGTAATTTACGAGCACTGTAAATCGGAGATCATGTTGCGCAGCTCGTAGGTAGAAGGGGATATATTTGAACCGATAAACTGACCTTATGCATGTTTTGAAATTATGCAACTGGGGAATTATATACAAATATCAATAAAAAAGTTATCATTTGGATACTTCTGCTGAGCCAGTAATAACCCAATAATAATAATAATAATTATAATAATTATAATTATAATTATAACCTGGATAAGGCCAGTCACCGATCACACGAGCAACTAGGCAAACAAACAGTTGAACAAATGACACGTGTCAACCATACAGACTGCGGGAATACCTGATAGAAATGTAGAATACTTTGGTACGCAAACCGAGACGGAACCGTTGAATCGTCACAAATACAGTCAACTGCGAAATGCATTGCACCAGAGCTGTCTAGCAGGTGATTACCCTGCAATAGCTCGGAAATTCCAATGGATCGTTCTCTCTCAGTTTATCCTACGCCTGCTATAACAATTATATTCAAGTATAAAAACACAAACGAGTTCAGCTGGACGAGTAGGCTTGTTCGATTTCGATGAAGTAAGACGATGGCAGGGTAATGGACCGAAGTTCACTGCCGACAGCCGGCCACCGATCTCGTGTTCTCAGGTAATCAACTCTAATGTTCACAATTTGATTGACTGATCTCGGTTCATGGAATACCCAGATTATCATTGTGCCTTTCTGTTTTCTTGTTAAGAGCATTTCAAGCAAGTGGGAGGTGCCTGCAATCTAAATCAAAATAGTTACTGCAGTTGTTAAAACATTTAGGCTAACAGTTTTGGAAAAGCCATAATACGACTCCATTGTTATAATTACACTAGGCGGTGTCTGGTAGAGGATAGTTATTTGTTAGAACTGTTAACGTATCAGCACATTGGCATTCATACAGCAAAATACCTCATTTGGAACGAGCCTTCTGAATCCGCACACGCAAGCAGGATAGTCCATCAGCAGATGGGCATTTCTGTAGTTACCATACTGAACACAGCGATTCGCTCCAACAGGTCTTGTTCATTTTTGATCATTGAAAGAAGATGTAAAACATGACCCACAAAACGAATATCATTCTCAGAAATAAATTGTTTTTTCAGCATACTTCTGCTTATTTATTTAACGTTCTCCGGACCCCTCGACAGTATTTGAAATAAAATTGATTGAAATGTGTCTGCGGCTGTTTGCGAGTGTTCACAATAGCT